AGCTTACAAGAGAAAGATGATTAAATTTGCATATGTTTGTTTTCTGGAAAAGTTAAAATTTATTTCTGGATAAGTATGAAGTTTTTAATTTAGAATTAAAATCAAATCTTAAAATTCATGAAATAGCAAAATTTGCAGAATTTGTTTTTAATGGCATTTCCCTATCAGTAAAAGTTGATTAAATTCATTTTTCCTGCTTTTAACTTTTTACCAACAGCTTTATTGAGTGAAGTACGCACATTTAAAGTGTAAAATTCAGTGATTCTTAGTATATTTATAAAGTGTGTAACCATTACTATAATCTAATTTTAGAACATTTTCATCACCCCAAAAAGAAGCTTTCTGCTTATCATTAGCAGTTACTCCCCATTCTCCTCGCCCCTGCTCCCAGACTTAGGCAACCAGTAATCTACTTTCTATCTCAATATTTGCTTATTGTGATTTATTCGTATAAATGGTATCAGCTCAGAGCTTCTTGAAAAGTCTTTCTTTTAAAATCAATTTACATGCTTAAAATATTTTGAGTCAGAGAATAAGCAACTGATCACTGGTATTCATAAGCAATGTTTAAAACAATTGACATACTTTTTGGTTGTATTCTGCATTGATTTAATACAAAGTGTGGAGCAAAGAAGTTAGCATGAATGGCTTCAGTGATCTTAAGAGGTGGTCTGGTCAGCTGGGAGTCAATAAGTAAAAGCCGAGAGTATTTTTGCCATCGAATATTAGGATAGTAGGTAGGAAAAGACCTTAAAGGTCATCAGCTTACTTCCTGCTTGCTTCACAAGTAGATGACAGGAACCAGATGAGGAAATCTGAAAAGTAGAAGCTTGGATCTCTAAGATGCATGGCTCAGGAATGGCAGTGTGGTCATGTAAGGCAAGAAATGGGGATTTGTAAATTAGAATTGTTTAAGTTATCATATGTGTATGCATGCATGTATATGTGTATGTACAATATTTGACATTTTACTAGCAGAGCAGGAAGAGAACTGGACATTTCCCCAATTTTGGGATGGGGAGGAGATTAATGTACCCACATGGATGAAATTCATGTTACAGAATCCTCTAAAAATGCTTTAATCAAAAGGAAGATGGCATATATATTATTGAGGCATCTTCTTGTACTATTACCATCTTTTCTTAAAAAATCCAAATTTTGAAAACCAAATTAATTTTTAAAAATTATAATTAGCAGAGTTGGTTGGAGGCCTCCTTTTTCAAAAACCAAGGGCCCTAACATCTAAATCAATGGTTCACAAACGGGTGTTATGCCTTCCAAGGGACATTTGGCAGTGTCTGGAAAGATTTTTCATTGTCATAACTGAAGGTGGGGTGCTGTTGGCATCTAGCCAAGGGATGTTGGTAAACATCCTACAATGTATAGGCCATATCTTACACCACCCTACCCTCTACACACAACAAAGAATTATCTGACCCAAAATGTCAATAGTATTGTTCTAAACCTATGGTTTGCATGATTCTGGTAAGGGCCTGAGCTAGTGGGGAAATACTCTCAGTGGGCACTGATTGGTGGATTAGATGAACCCTTTAGGTACTCTAACAACTTTTTTTGCGGGGAGACACTGTTGAGGGAAAAATAAAAGGAAATCTATTTATGACATAACGCAGATACTATTTAGTCTAATTGTCTTCAAATCTGAAGAAATTTTTTCCCCCTGAAAACGGCAGCCTTATTTTACTGCAAATTTGAACTACTATTATGTTTTGAATTGGTACATAGGTTTTTGAAATTGGAAATATAGTGTAGTAGTATATTCTTTATCTAGAAGTGATTATTTTTCCACCTGGTAGCTTCAACTGCCAAGAAAGAAGTAAGCTAAATGTATTAATTAATTAATAGTGTGTGTTGTGAATGGCCAAAAATTTTCAAAGTTTATACATGAATCTCATTTTTTTTTTCTTATAGGCCCCACTTTTGACTCTTTAATTTGTTTTTAACAAGCTCAATTTGGTGATGAAAAAAGAAAAGATTGACAGTTGGAGTCACTTTTGCTATTTACCTGTTATATGACCTTAGATAAATTACTCAATCTTTATGAACCTCAATTTTCTCATCAATAAAATAGGAATAGTGATAATTCCTGTATTATAAGGTTATTGTGAGAACTGAATTAGGTAATGTGTGTTAATGCTATGTCAACTATAAAACACTATATGAATTAGTTACTACATCTGAAACTAATATAATTAATGTCATATCAATTATACCTCAAAAAAAAAAAGTTACTTATTTCAGAAGAATCAAATTAGAAAGAGATAGAGAGGATGCCAAAGGCAGGAATATAGATAGGAAAGTAGAGAATAGTGACTTACTGACAACTTCTCTAGGGAGAAGAGAGACATTCTCAAAATATATTGACAACAAACTAGTAAAAGAACTAGTATTATCATTATTTGAAGCTCTTTAAAATCGGGGCAAACTGACTTCCTTCAGTTGTACCTGAGAGTATCACTATTACAGTGCGGTATGAAACTCATTGTTATAATGGTGAAATTAAATTATCAAGGAAAGGTTACCTTGTTTTCAAAATACCCTATTTGAAAAATCACGAAAATATTTAATTTCAGAATTAAAATTTTCAGAAGTTAACTTGTACAAAAAGTTTCAGCATTTTTGAGCGTAAGCTGCAGTTATCTGGATTCATTCCCTTGTTGGGAATAATTCCTTCTATTACTATTCATACCTTCCTTTATATTTGAAGGGTTTTTCTACCACCAGTAGTTGCCCTTCAAACGTGAAGATTTAACTCAAGAAATAGGGGTTTTAAACCTACTATTTGTAAAAATCTCATCTCTTTCTATATTGTTTTGTTATTATTTTTCAACATCTTTTACACAAGGATGCTTTGATTTTTCTACACGTCCAATAGTCTATGGTTTGTGCTGTAGTGTTTAGAATTGAATTAACTAAAATACATGAAGTGAATGGGGAAAATTGTAATCTCTTACAATTAACTGTTCAACTTTTCTTTCACAATCATGCAAAAGCAAAATTGCAGGTAAGCAGAGCTTGAGGTATTCAGTGAGATTTTTCTGGAGTAGCATGAGGTAGACTAGTTTGAAATATTATTTAGAATAAGTCATGTGGTGTTGGTATTGGTAGGTAAATTTTTTTAATATGGCATACTTAAAAAATCGGATTTTAGAAAGTGGGAGGAAGTTTTCAGGGCAAAAAATGCCACCAATTTGGAGAATTTCATATTTAAATAGTTGGCTTTTTGATTAAAAGGAAGTTCAGAGAGTAGGTGTTTGTGTTTGAATATTGTGGTGATGCATCATGTTTTATGACGTTTTTCTCCTATGTAGTGAATATAGTAAAATTTGGAAATTTTGACATCAAGAAAGTTTGTGCCCTGTTCCTCCCCCTCCCCCCCCAATTTGGCTAAACTGAGTGGTAAATTGGGCCCAGGTGGTGAAGAGTTTTTAGGCTCAACAAACAATATATACCACTATTAAAGAATACTTAAGGAGGTTCACCTAATAAGATCTGAATTTTAGAAGATTCTGAAGTTGAATGAGATTAGGACCAAAGAAGGACTTTTAGTAGAAGACCCTCACAATAAAATCTTCAAATAAAATTCTGAACTAGAGCAGTGACAGTTGGAATGGAGAACAAGAGATGGATTTGTAATGAATTTAGGAGGTAGAGTCCATGACAGTCCAAGTTGATATAGAAATTGAAGAATGTAGAGTGCTCAGGGAGTCAAGTTGGCTCTAGGGTTTCTAGCTTGGGAAACTACATGAATAGTATTGCCATTAAGTGAGCTAGAGAAGGAATAAATTTTTGGCAGGTGGAAGAGAGGGATAAAGATGGTAGATAATGAGTTTAACTTTTGGATGTATAGAGTTTTAGGTATCTATGAGACTTATAGGTGAAGATGCATAGTAGGCAGTTATAAATTTGTGTGTGGACATTGAAAAGTGGTTAGGACTGGAAAAAGATCTGGAATCTATCCAGTTTTCTTTATCTCTGCCATTATCTGAGTTCACGCTACTGTCATCTCTCACCTAAATTATTGCAAGTTTCCTATCTGGTCTTTTCTAGTCTTCTCCAATCCATTCTCTGTGCTACAATCAGTGATCTTTCTAGAGGGCAAATTTGATTACATCATTCCTGACCTCAGATTATTTCTGTGACTTTCTTTTATTCTCACCATGAAATCTGTACTCCTGTTCCTTTAACAAATTTATGAATTCATTTGTTTTCTCAATTATCTATGTAGCCTAATGAGTCTCCACAACTCCCACTTTCCCTCAAATATATAATTTTCTCAGAAATATTGACTTACTTGTGGTTTCTGGCAGTAGGCTCTCTCTTCCCTCCAAGTCTTTACACATACTGTTCCCTATTCCTGGAGTTTTCTCCCTGTCACGCCATTCCTCCCTTCCATTTGCCTGGCTCATTTTTACTTATCTTCAGTTCTTCGTAAGCTTTCATTGATTTATTATTATTATTGAAAAAATTTAAACCCACAGAAAAGTTAAAAGAATAGTAGAGTGAACACCTACACCTACACACTCACAAACACTTTCCTTTTGCCAAATCTGAAAACAGGATGTAGATATGATGCTTCCTAAATACTTAAGCATGCATCTCCCAATTACAGGGACATTCTCTTACACAACTACAATGCCATTAAAACCTAAAAATAACAGTTGCTCAATAGCATTGTTCAACATATTGTCCATTCTTAAATTTCCCAATTTGTCCCAAAATTCTTTATAGCTTTTTCCCTTTAGAATGCAAGATTCAGTCAAGGTTCATGCATTGCATTTGGCTGGTATGTCTTTTTAATCTCCTTCAATCTGGACTGGTCCTATTACCTCCCTCCC